TCAATCTCAGTGTTCAGATCATCGGTCCAATCAGCCCACTCGAGCTAGTTGACAGTCAACTGGAAAGCCACAACTTGGCAGGGTGGAGTTCTCACCCCCACCCTCCAGTCTGGTTTCATCAGGCTCCATCATTAACTCCCTGAGTCTCCTCAGAAGCAGGGGCTCGCCCTGGCTGGGCGGTGCGGTTACCTGGAGCATCGTCCCACGCACCAAAAGGCTGTGGGTTTGATCCCCAGTCGGGGGTGTGCACAAGAGGCACCTGATTGATGTTTCCGTCCCTCCCTTCCTCTCTCTCTCAAATCAACAAACATATCCTTGCGTGAAGATATAAGAAGTAGAGGCTGTGTGGTTATTCTCAGGAAAATCCGGTGTGTCAGGCACTCGGGGAACATAGGAAGAGCACCTGTGTGACATGGTGAAGGTCACATCACAATCAAGTGAAGGAGCCCAAACAGGAACCTAGATGGCTCAAGCAAGGCAGAACCTTTTAAGTGGCCAGAGAAATGACACGGGATAGTGCTCACAGGAAGAAGACTGCCCCTAGCCTCGGGTCGGTGGGGATCAGGAAATCTCGGGGCAGGCTGGAAGGAAGCATAGTACTGGCCGGGAGCAGAGCCACAGGGGGGGGGGGGGCACAGTGGTCTAGCTGAGTTGGCGTGCTGGTTGGAGAAGGTTACTCCTCTGTGCCCTAAATGTGCAGACTTTGAACGTCACTGTCTCACTTAGAAAGGGTTGTGCTGTCCAGTATACCTGACTTAAATCGACGCTCCTTCTTGCCGTAAGGCTGGACATCCAATCCTTCCTCTGTAATCCCTTTATGCTTTAGAGCGAGCACCTTTGCCCAAACGGTGACACACCTGCCAGGATGGAATGTCCGAAATTCGCTTTACTGTCATTTCATCAACACTGCCGAGCCTTGGATGCCGTGATGTTCTTCTCCTCAAGATCAAGTTTCAATGAAACCAGCTAGTTAAATCCCACAGAGTTGATAAGAACTGGGATTTTCCATATAGAATAAAAGAAAAATTAAAAATCAAAAAACTACACTTCTCTCCCAAGGCCAGCGTGTTTGGCCTTCAATTTCATCTTCTAAGCGTGTTCTCTCTTCAACACTTGACATCAAGCCTAAGTAAGTCTAAAGCCGCAGTGTAGTTACAAAAGAATGGCCAATTTTTATTTTTAATTAAAAAAATATACTTTTTTTTCCTTATTGATTTTAAAGAGAGTAAGGGAGAGGGAGAGAGATAGAAACATCAATGAGAGAGAACATCGATTAGCCGCCTCCTGCATGTACCCCTCTGAGTATCTGGTCCACAACCTGGGCATGTGCCCTGACCAGGTATTGAACCAGTGACCTCGTGGTGCACGGTCCACACTCAACCACTGAATCCCAGTCAGGACATTGGACTGGTTTGACTCCTGGTCAGGACACTTGCCCAGGTTGTGGGCCTGATCCCCAGTGAGGGGCATGCAACAGGTGGCCAATCCATGTTCTCCGTCATCGATGTTTCTCTCTCTCTTTGCCTCTTACTTCCTCTGTAAAATCAATAAAGGAAAATTTTTTTAAAAAATTAAAACAAAAAAAACCCCACTTTGTTCCTTATGTTATTCTGTCATGCACCTTCATGGGGAAAAAAAAAATCAGTACCCTCCTCCACCCAGTATAAATATTCATTGTGGACACAGCTTCCCTTGTGGCCGGCAGAGCAGCTCACACAGATGTCGTGGATCCGTCTGCATGAGATGCTTGTGTGGGCCTCTGTCTTGATGTACTTGGAAAAGGGACACTTGTCAAATACAGCAGCAGTGTCCGGACACCACACGGCTGTATTTCAGGTAGCCCGCCAGTTCCAGGGAAATGTACAGTGTGAATTTTACAACACCGCCGTGGGTCATTCGTTTTTTGAGGATCTGCCAAATTTCCTGTTGCCAACACAAAACTCATTTAACCTATAAACTCTTGAGTTTCCTGCATTCTTGAGACCAAATTTTCTCTTTTCTTTCCAACAACCCACATCAGGGGCAGTGGAACAGGTTATTTTGAGACAACATCCTGTGTTGATGAGATTGTGCCAATGGATCGAGAGTGTGCCAAAGACTTTTACTAGAGAACCGTTTTGAGTTTTAACGATTTCCTTCGACAATGGGGAACATTCCTTTGTTCCAGCAATAACATAAGAAGACTTCTTGGTTTGTTTTGGGGGATCCAGATGTTCAGTTTAGAATTAATGTAAAAGATCTGAAATCTCTAGAATTAGTGACCTGTTTCCAATCTACAGATTTGTAGGTATTTCTAGTCTGAACTCTTCTCAGTTTCTCTTGGGACCAACAGTGAAACAATGTTAATGCTGAGACCTGGGAATAGAATTTTTAATTTGCCAGAAAGGCCTGCAGCCAACCAGTCTGGAGCCCAGCCATTGCCACCCAACATTTCTTCACACCTGCTTTGCAATTCCAGCTGGGAAGAAGGGCCCTTCCTTCTGCTTTGAGGAGTACATGCTCAGCTTTCCACAAATGCCAGCGAAGAAAAGGTATAAACACGACAGAACATATTTAACACCTTCTAATTTAGCTGAAGTTGTCCAGGGAAGAGATGAGCTGTATGCCTGATAGATTTCATGAGAATGCTACTTTCCCTCTGTGGTCCCCAAACATGTAACCCAGTCTAATCACGAGGAAAAAAACCAGACAGATCCCAATAGAGGGATAATGTAGAAGCCACGGGCATACCTCAGGGATACTGTGGGCTTTGTTCCAGATCACCACAGTACAGCGAGTGATCATCTTCTTGCTGGTGGAGGGCCTTGCCTTCAATTTGTAAAAAAATCTGTAAAGTGCAATAAAGATATGCCTGTCCGTGATCAGTATTCCTCTTCCTCAAAACTGCCACAGTCATCAAAACAAGGAAATTCTGGGAGGCTGTAATAGCCAGAGCTTGGAGGTGTGACAATAAGCAAAACACGCCAACCTGGATGGATTCTGGAACAGAATGGTACATCGGGGAAAACGAAGGAACTCTGAATAAAGGATGGGCTTTAGTTAATATTAAAGTATCAATGTTGGTTCATTAATTATGACCAATGTACCATACAAATATGAGATGTTAATTGGGGAAACTATTATAAAGGGAGTGGAGAATAGGGGAGTTCTAGCATCTTTGCAATTTTTCTGTAAATCATCTAAAATAAAATTCACTGAAACGTAAAAATGAGTGGCAACACGTGTGCTTTTAAAACACCATTTCAAGTATAATAGACATGACAGCATTATTCTTGCAGGTGGACAAACTATGAGCCCAGAAACACCCCAATGTCAATCTCGGCAGTTTTAAGAGGAACACAGAGAAAAAGGGAGTGTTTCCACTTCCCCATTCCCACCTAAAAACGTATTAAGAGGCTGGGAACGTCCTTTGATGGAGTCTACATCTCCATTTTTAATCAGGAAAAGTTGATAGAGTAATATTAAGGCAAAGTATTGTTGAGAGATCTGCTGAACTAAAGATTTCTGTGCTTTAAGTCACTAGATGAAACTTGCTTTCAGATTTTAAACTAAATGTCTGCTTCACATTTTACATTTAGCAAACAGTTTAAATAACATCATAGTACTGAATAGTTTATAAATGTTTATTAAATGTCAGTAATCTTTACAAAGCAAATATTAATAGCAAGAGGCAAAAATTTTGCAAAATATGTACAAAAGTAAAAGCCTTAATGAACTAGCAACTCATTTTATAAAATCAAACAGTTCTTGCCATTTTCAGAGCTCCTTTAGAAATAATTTATTGCCAATCCTGAACTAAAGCACCGACGGAAAATAATTTACAATATCAGATAATGTGCTTAGTTCCTGGAAAGTTATAAAAAGATACATGTATAAAAAAAATCCTAAGCCACAAATATTTTTATACCAAGCTAATACAAAGCATGTTTGGTTAGGTACAGCATCTATGAGGTTGTTATAAAATATACTTTTTGATAAGGCTTCTTGTGGTAAATGAACGCTCCCCAGGATAGAGTAGTACTGTATAGAAAAGTCAGTGAAAACATTTTCTGCTTCTGCTTTCAAGAGGTAAAAAAAAAAAAAGGGGGGGGGGTGTTAATTGGGGAAACTATTATAAAGGGAGTGGAGAATGGTTGCATGGTTACTTATACTTTTCATGAATTAACCCCTCCTGGTCCCCTTCCTTCTTCCCCCCTGGTACCATCAAATAGGCAAGATGGAGGACAAATGCAGCAGTTACTATATGGCAAGTAATATACATGCGTTCTAAATACAAACAATCAGACACCCAGGATGTAGCGCATATCTAACACGATATTCACTGAATGAATTGATGCACAGTGGGTCGGCATACTTCCATGCATCTGGAAATTTTCATCGCCAACAGCTTTGGATAGGCCACAAAATCTCTTACCAACCCAGAAAATATTGCCCTATCATTTTACATTTTTTGGTCCATATAAGTTCTAGCATTTGCAAGCAGATGGTTAGACCTGGATGAAACATGAATTAATATATTTATTTAAATGCTAACCATACATTCAAGTAGACTTAAGAATGCTAGCAGTACAAACACTGGACTCCATATGATGTTAATGATCACTTACCAGCCTAAGGCTAATGTCAACATTTTGGTACTTGAAAAAGCCATGAAATCCAACTTAAAATGTTCAGGTTTAGATTTATACTTCAATCTCTAGTATACACTTATTAAGCCCTAGCCTCGTACCATAAAATAATGGGTATGTATTATTTGGAACGTGGAGACACCTACACCCACTCACATACAACCCCTCCCTTCCTCATGTTTACTAGACAAAAAGCCAACCTGTAGACTACGTTAAAAATAACAAAAAATCAGTACTGTTAGTCACGCAGCACAACACCCAACTAATGGAACACAACCTGTTGATATGACCGGCACTAGTCAGATCTCCAACTGAGAAAATTTCTGTCCTGATTCCTCACATAAAACTAAAAGAAATGAAAAGGTAACAGAGTAACTTTCTCTACATTTATTAGGGAGTTTGTTACAAATACTTGACTGAATTTTACAGGCATGATTTCATGTATTCAAACAAGAAACTGAGTTAACACTGATATTTAGCCTTCCCATTACATATACAGAAATAACATTGCTACAGATTGCAATGGAGAGAATCTTGTTTCAAATGGCTTGGTTTGGGGTTTTGTCTAAATGTATCATTATATAATGAAAGCACCAATTTGAGGGCTTCTCAAACAGTGATTTGAGTTTCAGAACATAACTTGGTAACTTGATTCTTCATCTAAATAAGGCATAACTGGATATGTGTACTAATGCTGAAAATACATTTTACCAAAAGCATAAATAAAAGTATTTGGGTATACACTGGAAGATTTACTCATTCCTTCTTACAAAAAATGATAGGACATACGATTTCTGTCAAATCTAAATGAATACTTCTAGTCATTTTTGGTATTAAGGTAATCTTATTTCCTTCTACTTTAAACCAACCACTGCTTTCCCTGAACCACCTCACGAGATTCACCAGAGGACCCTCACTTTGTAAAAAGACATGCCAATGAAACTCTGAAGAAAACAAAACCAAACAAATGACCTTTCCCCCCACACTGCCTTCTTGGGTTGTGGCTGCTCTCTAGCCATCAAGTGCCTTTTCTAGATAATGAGACGGAAATGAAGATTTAAACTTAATACAGTATTTGGCAGAAAGCAACAATTCAGGTTATTAAAAATAATATTTAAGTGGCAGAGGCACGCCTTGAATTATTTGGATCTTCAGAAAACATCTGACAAAACCTTTTTCCTATATAAAAATCAAGGCCCAAATCTGTGGTGTTCTTTAATTTATAAGGCAACTCTGTATACTACAAATATTTTCAAGGACAATGAAGACACTTTGTGACATTTTTAAAGAATTAAACAAGAAGACATTCAGATTTAAGGACAGAATGTAAAAGAACTAGGTACATCTTATTTCAAATAATAACGTGGTAGTCTTAGAGAAAATCTCACACACAAAAGAACTTTCCATTTAAATCACTTTTTTGAGAGATTAAGGGGCAATTGGCAAAGTAAAAACTATGAGCACCCTTTCAATTTTGTTCACTAAACATCACTTCCATCTTCATATACTGGTATTTGAAAAGGACCTGGTTTGCATGATTTAGGTATAATGACTCCTTCATATGATTTAAACATACAGTATATAAAAAGTATGGACTAAAGCATTCAGATTGAACTTTATAGCTCTACTGAGTGTCTAAACAAGCCTGTCAGTAAATGAAAGTAATTCACTACCTCAAAGTATATTTCAGATTTTACTATGAAAGAATGTTGGCTCTGAGACACCCCACACCAGGGAAGGAAATCACAAATGCCCCAAATAGTACTGTATCTATTTGGTGTTTCAACATTTCTTGGTGGTAGTCAACACGGAGAAACTGGTGATTTCTGCTTTGTCAGGCAATATTTATGGTTCACATCACACATCTTAAATATAATGTAAACAGACTGTTTCCTCTTCATACAGGGAACTTACTTCAGCCTTCGCTGGAGTTAATGGTTTGGCCATTCCATAAAACTATCTGCTAAATTTACATATAGACTCTACCAAAAAGTCCAAATGTCACTGTGCACGTATTGACATGTTCAGTGGCACTGGAATTACTCCAACTCTGTGAATTTAAACAAAGTACTCTTTTTGGCAAGAAACACTAGATGTAGGACTGTTTGGACATGCGTGGACAATTGCATGATCACGTGGGTGACAGGTCTGGAGGTCATGTATCAGTCACCGAGGCATTCAAATACTGGAAGTGACTACGGATATCATGATGGTGGATGGAACTTCAAAGGCAAGAAAAGTCAGAAACAATCTTGGTTAGCTCACTGAAGAGCCCTACTCGCACACTAGATAGCCATACAGACCAAGAGCCATTGTCTTGAAAATGGTGGGTGACCCATAATGTTGACCCACCTTTCAAGAATTTCCTAGCCAAGAAAATACCTGAGAACCCAGTCAGCTACACAGTAAAGTGACAGATATCACAGTCTTAATAACAATTTTCAAAAGAAAAATGGTCAGACTTGCCAAGTTGTGCCCAGCCTTGCCCATCTGTCTCTAACCCAGTTCCAACACTGCACTGAGCCAGCAAGCCAGTATTTTCAGGACTGCACACCAGCCACTCCAAAGAGGTCGCTGTGAATGTATTTGCAATCACAAAGCTACCACATGGGTGTTTTCATTTGGTGAGTGATGGAGGGAGGTCAAATGCAATCGTATTTTGGTGTTAATTAAAAAACAATGACCTCTTATTCTTAGGAATATCCTTAAAACATTCCAAATGTACCTCAATAAAGCTGGAATTTCATAAACAATGACACAAACATGCACAGACTGTGCTTTTTCAGCTACATACCAAGAATAAGTAGGAATCTGAAATAATACCTCCTCGGATAGTTGACATGAAAATACAGCAAGCTCCGAATGACCAAAATAAATCCCATAAATGCCACCACCTGAGTTGATGGGAACAGACAAGAGAGCAAAAAAAAAAAAAAAAAAGATGTTTGTAATGGTACAAAAGGGCTTCCTACAGTAAGGCCCCAAATCATGAGAGACAGGATTTAAAAGCCTGAGAGTAAAACACGTAACATTCTGGAAAGGGTATGTTTATTTAGAAAGTTCTGTTATCTAGTTGCTTGCAATTTTTAGTTACTGCTATGGCCAGTGTGTTTCACACCTGGCACTTTTATCGCATGATATTTAAATGTGAAAAGGGTAAATCATGTATATTTCACTCGTAACTTGGATCAAACACTATGTATGGCACTGGCCTGCCTCTCGCCCCCCCAACCCCCGTACCATTTGTGAACTTTCATTAGCATCAAACCAGAAATCCTTATGTAAACTTTAAAACACTAAAAACATTACCTTTAGAAACCACAGAAACTGAAAAACAAAATAACTTGTGAATGTTAAGTAATGAAAAGTACATGAAGGCTAAATCTGTAAATCAATAGAATGTCATTCCTAAGATCAAAACGTTTTCCATTTCAACACAGGTCACCATAAAGCGAGACACAAGTGTTGCTGCTGTGTGTCAGGCAGACAGAAGGTATCTTACTTTAGAACTGAACATTCTTAACCTCATACCTACATATATGAGGACACATTCTGTACTTGGCACTACCGGAGATTTCAGTTTGAAAAGTGGGAGAATTTAAAGCCTGAACTGTACGTCGGGGCGGTTGGCAGGGAATCACCACTCCACTCTAAGGGAAGCCTAGTGACACAGACTGGAGCCTGAACTGTACGTCGGGGCGGCTGGCAGGGAATCACCACTCCACTCTAAGGGAAGCCTAGTGACACAGACTGGAGCCTGAACTGCAGCAGATCCTGGCGACGAAAGTTATTCAGCAGCTTTTCAGCCACAAACCCAAGTCCACAGAAGAAGGACTAAGATTTCCAAGAATTAAACACAGAATCGAGATTTTTCTAATTCCTGTTGTAAACTATTTTAAAAAAACAAAACAAAACAGAAAACAATCAGAGACAAAAAGGTATTGAAACAGCAAGTCTTTTGTACGTCACTGTAGCATAAGCTGCTTGAGGTTGTCATGAAGAATAGTATCCTTCACGTCACGGAACACGAGGCGGATGTTCTCCGTGTTAATAGCAGTGGTGAAGTGGTGGTACAAGGGCTTCTGCTGCTGGTCCCGGCGTTTGTTACGGAAACATTCCACCAGGAATTTTTGGACGTCTCTTAAGCAGTGGGGATCCCCTTCAAATTCTAAGAAATAGTCTTTGATGCTCACAATTTGCACTTTCTCCTCAAGCAAGTCTGTCTTGTTTAAGAAGAGGATTATGGAGACATTGCTGAAAACCCGGTTATTGACGATTGTTTCAAAAATGTTCAGAGATTCTGTAAGGCGATTGGTCAGTCGGTCTTCCATGAGCACTTGGTCAAACTCACTTGAAGAAACAAGGAAAAGTATTGACGTCACACTGTCGAAGCATTCAAACCAACGTTTTCTTTCTGATCTCTGACCACCTACATCAACCATTTTAAAAGGAACATTTTTAATTTCAAAGTCGTACTCATGAATGCCTTTGGTGGGTCTTCTGGCAAGAAGAATATCTTGTTGTGATGGAATGTAATCCTGGGAAAGAAAAAAACAAACGGTTTTATACCCAGTAATCCAGAAGTAATTAGAATTTTTAATATATTACTAAGTGGTCTAGTGAATGAATATGCAAACAAAATTATCTTTTAAATGACACCTCTTCATAACATTAAAGCATCAATACTATTATTACCCCATTATAAAATGCCAAAATATATTAAAATGTTAGTGTACATGACTGGTTCAAAATTCACTACAAATGAGCAGCACTTACTGGTTTTTTCACCCTTCAATACTACTCAAATTTAGGTCTTATCTTCCACTGTCCTCATACCCCAACCCACTGCTGGGTACCCACTGACAGTATTACTCCGCAGCATGACCCAGTCTTAGTCTCAGCCAGAGTGACGTCCCTGCTCACATGCCCACCTGCTCCTGAGGTCTGAAATGGCAATTCCTGAGAATCACTTCCCAGTTCAAGGTTCTGCCTCCCTCTAGCCCTTTCTAAACATTCCTTTACTGTGTTTATGACTAAGACCTTCTATGCTGGTCCCTCCACGGTATCACTGCTGCTACACTACGTGTGTGGAAAACACTTCCTCTACCACAACGAATTAACTAAATTTACTCTGGGCTACTTCCTAGGTCTGTTTCCAGGGTATGGTGTAGCTGTGTTCCAGCTAACTCATCTGTTGACCCAAGTAGTCATTTACTCTGTCAGCACTTTTGCCTGTAAAATGAAGGTGACTGTGGCTGGCCTACTGCCTTTGAAGGACAGTTTATGCAAAGATCAAATGAGCTCTTCTCTGTGCACAGGATCAGTCAACTACTAGACCCTGAACAGACAGAAGCTGCTGGTCTCTTGAGACACCAGCTACCCAGACAGTGCACTTGGCTATGCAGTATAACTGGTTCTTTTTCTTCTCAGGCTAGTATTTTTCCAGAACTTTGACACAGCTTTTTGGCAATACTGAAAAGAAGAATTTTTAATGTTCATCATCGACGTCAAAATATTTTAAAAAATCAAGGCAAAAACCATGCTGATTGTTATTCCCAATGCTGCATTTTATGCCTTTCCAAGTAGTGTAATATGATTTTGAAATGTCATTACAATGAAAAATAGTTCGTTAAGAGAAAAAGGAGACAGTTCTCAGTTGTCTGTGATCCACAGCCCTTTATTAAATAACTCTGGGACTCTAAGGTGTTGGCGTTTCCATGTTTCTTTCTAGCTTCTGTTCAAGTACCTACCTATTTTACATTGAATAATGTGATATAATTTACATAAACATTCTCCTAGTGGTCAGTTAGGTTATTTCCAATTTTTTTGCTTTAATTAACAGAAGTGCAGCAATTGCAAACACTTTTTTGTTCTTTTGGACTATTTCCTAGACTAAATAACTGAGAATAGGAATATAAGGTCAAAAGTTATAAACATTCTGATAACCCTGGACACAATGCCCAACTGCTTTCTAGAAAGGTGGTGCCAATTTACAGCGCACGTGTGCCAGCTGCCTCAGAAACATGCCAGCCCTGAGCTGTTCTTTCTTAAAAATTTTCTAATTCTATAAATAAAAAAAGTATTTATTATTGCCTTAGCTAGGAGCTAGCAATCTAGTTAGGAAGCTAAAAGCTAATTCATACAAAGCATAAAACATAGGACGACAATGTAATCAAATGCTAAATAGTCTGGCAATAATAGTAATTAGGACTGTGAATTCTAGTTAGGCCTTTAATACTAGCTGTGTGACCTTGGACAAGTCACTTAATCTCTCTGTCCCAATTTCCTCATTTGTAACATATAACAACATTCACAGGGATGCTGTGAGCACTAAATGAGTTAAATGGGTGATGTGCTTATTAAGAATCGTTCCTGTGTCTGCCACCACCACATATCCTTTGTCAGACAGATGTGCCTCCTAAAACGAAACACATTCAGCTGTCTCCTTCAGCAGGCTGCATCTTCTCTCTCCCCATCTAAATCCAAACCATCCTTCAGTTACTCTTTCAGGACAGCTCCCACTTCTCGAGCCGAAACATCTCTCTCTCTCCACTCAATGCACTAATACTATCTCCGTGATCAGTATCACTTCATTGTCCTCTGCTTGCTTTATGTGTATTAATTTTGTCTCTGACTCGAATGAGTTTCTTAAATACAGGGATCAAAGAACAAAACAGCTAATACTGAGCATTTATTATATACATTATTGGGTGCTATAGATTGAATTGTGTCTCCCGCCCCCAAATTCGTATGTTGAAGCCCTGACAGCTAATGCAACTGTATCTGGGGACAAGGCTTTCTGGAAGTTAACTAAGGTACTAACTAAGGAAGTAACTAAGTAATGAGGTCATATGGGTGGGGTCCTTACTCAGATAGTATTTGTGGCCTTGCAAGAAGAATGAGAAATTCTCTCTCCATGTGTATGTACGGAGCAAAGCCAAGTGAAGACTGAGAAGGCCACAGTGTGCGAGCCAGAACGAGCCCTCACCCGAAATCGACCGTGCTGGTCAGCACCTTGACCTTGGACCTCCAGCCTCCAGAACTGAGAGGAATAAATTTCTGTTGTTGAAGCCTCCCAAACAGTGGTATTTTGTTATGGCGGCCTGAGCAGACTAAGACGTGGGGTTTATTTCATGTAATTGCCTCATACTGTATGAGGTGTTCTCTTACTAAGCCTATGACAGGGATAAAAAACACTAAGGTATAGAAATGCCTAAGGTCACACAGAACCAGTCTGTGATAGAACTGGGATTGGAACCCATGCCCTTGACCCATGTGTTGTTCTACCTACCAGAGGGTCATGAGGCTTGGCATATACTACTTTAGTCAGAGATGGAGAAGTAAATGCAATCCTGAGACATGTGTAATACGCACAGAATGAGTGGCCAATGTTTAGCACACCCAGGTTTATTCTTCCTTCTGGTACAACTACCAACTGATTACTTTTTTCTTTTTATTCCAGATAAATGGCCTCAGAATTGTCCTCAACATGAGACACTAAGCAGCTAGTACTAAGTTCACTGGAACTGGCCTATAGTCATCCATTCACAAACCACCTGTTGAGTACTGTCACTAGGCATTAAAAGCTCAGCTCTTCACAATCAAGAGATGAGATCCCTGCCCTTACAGAAAGAGGTGGGTAAAGACCAACAGCATATCAATAAACCAACTATAATGAGAAGAATGAAGCCTGCAAGAAGCAAGGGCTGACCCTGAAAACAGGAGGGGACCACATTAAACAGTGCGCTCGAAGAAGGCCTACGCCAAAGGCACGTTGCAAAGAGCAGGTGAGGGCCTCGACAGGAAACCAGGAAATTAGCCCATCTACTAAGGCTTCTCTTACATTTTTTAAGGCTTATAATATGGCCACATGGAAAAGTGACAATGAAATAAGTCTTAATAAAAAGATTCACTGATATGGACTGAGTACACACATATATATGGAGATCCCAACTTCTGGAACACCTGTATCTAGGAAACAGGCAGGAGAAAAACACTGGTTTTAAGGGCAAATACAATTTAGCAAAATACAAAAATTATTCTGCCAGGGCAAAAAGAGGGTACTTTTTCACGTCCTAGATCTATTACTATGTTACTTTCCTATTTATAGTGGGTTTCATGTTATGCCTTTCTCTGGTTATATTTTTTAAGTTAAATATCTCAAAGAACCCATGAAATCATATTAAAATTTATATCAGAAATTTGCCTCTTTGTTTGCCTCTTTGCTAAGAGGAGGCAAACAAAACTACGCTAAACTTAGCAGGTAACAAATGACTCTACGGCAATATTGGGCTTCCAAACATTTTCTAGGCACCAGAAACCTTTCTTCTGATGACCTCTTCTACATGAGTCCAAACACAGAGCAGACCGTACAGCTGCTCTGCCCACAGCAGGCCTGGGAGCCAGCGCCAGCCACAGCCGGCTGGGAGCTGCTGTCTCTGAGGGATACAGGCAGGAAAATCACAATCTCAATTTCCAAGGGCAACCTTTCTCCCACAACATGAAGCCCCTTCATTAGGCCTTGAGAAAATAGCCCTCTCACGCTGCAACTCAACACAAAGGGGTCTCCAGCCAAAAAATACCATTTTCTGAAAGGTTTTAAAATCAATTAACCCACTGTGTTCTTTCTGTTTCTCCTTCTAAAAAACCCAAAAGACAGTGAAGTAGAACATATAATGTGCAATCTCATTTTCAAACATAAACGTCTTTCTCTAAATAGTTTTACTTTCATGAAGCAGGGGACAGGGCATTCCTTAAGGATGTGGATGATAGAGGGAGAAAAAATGAGGCAGAAACAGTCAAATGCTGCCACTAGGAAACAGAAAGAAGCAAATAGCTTGATGCATAAGTTCCCTAAATTTGCTAACATCAATATCTTGGCTATTGCTTTCAAACGGCACTAAACATTCAGTTAAAAAACTTACTGGTTCTCCAAGTTTATCCAAGTTATCCAGGAAATATTTTACAGATTCACCCTAAAAGCAAGAAGAAAACAAACAGTTATTAGGGCTTAAAAATGGAAGACTTTGTTACAACAGTTTATATTAAACTGTCTGGTTGTACACTTAATCCAAACATCGTTTGCTTCAGAATGAACAACTAACCCCACTAAGAACGTATAAAATGTCTGCTTCTGCCATAAGGTGCCACAGCCTGGTTAATTTCACAAATGCTTTACATACATGATACCCCCAAGTGATCATCTACTTGGATAGTGTTACATGTATGCTTTTGACATCAACTAAAATTTAAGTGGAATTCTTTTTGTCTACATTTTCCACCTTAAGTATATACCAATGGTGGTTATCCTCGGAGACCAGAGCAAACCAGAGATGAGGTGAGAACACCATATAAAAAATCTTCCAGTAAAAGGCAGATGCCTGGGAAGATTCTGAATAATGCTGCAGGCCTCCCTTCTACAATGGGTCTTCTCTTCCAGAGTGACGAGCCTACTCTCCCTGGGCCCCATGTCAATTGCCCCTCCAGGCAACTTCAAACATCCAAACTGTAGGAGAATACATTCTTAAAAGGAAATACTTAGAGAGGACAGATAAGATGAAACCACTCTGGGAAAGGGGGCTGGATCTGGGCTGAGTCTCCACGCTCTCCCTGTGTTTTCACTTTCCTGTTGGACTTCTAAGACCCAAGCACTTCCCCTGCTCGGAGCTGCTTCCACAAGTTCCCCAAGGCAGGGATTCCTTAATGTTTGGGAGGATCATGGGAGGACTTTGCTATACTGTAGGTTCTGACTGCGGGTGGGGGTGGAGGGTGGGAGTAGTTTCAGCAGTTCTGGTATTTCTGGGACTGCACTTTCAGTCACCAGGAATTAAAGTAGCAGTTCTCACAATTTTTAGCCTCAGGATCCCTTTTCACATCTTAAAATTCTCGAGGACCCCAAAGAGACTTTCTTCACGTAGGTTATAGCTATTAATATTTACCAAATTAGAAAGTAAAACAGAAATTTTTTTTAATCCTCACCTGAGGATAGAGGGGGAAGGAGAGAGGAAGGGAGAGAGAGAGAAACATCAATGTGAGAGAGACACACCGAGTGGTTGCCACCTACACGACCCCAACCAGGGCTGGACAAACTGCAACCAAGGTGCGTGCCCTTAGCAGGAACCAAACCTGGGTCTCTCTGGTCCGCAGGCTGACGTTCCAACCGCTAAGCCAAACTGGCCAGGGCAAAACTGATAAATTTTAACCAATATTTTATTAATTAATTTAAAAATATTGATAGTACACCCACTACCTGTTAATGTATTTTAGTATATGGCAATAAAAGACAGCAAGACGCTCATCTGCTGCATTTGAACTGCTACTTTAAATTGTCTTGGTTGAAATATATGATGAAAAGCTGGCCTTACACAGAAATGTAGTTGGAAGAAAGAGAAGTGTTTTAATAATTTAATAGCAAAATATTTCCTGAAGTACTAGTAAATTACTAAATGGATGTTTGTGCTCTAAAATGGCTAAGTCCAATGGTTTAAAGTGGCTTACATACTTTTTCCATACATACTAAGTCCTTCTATTTGCAAGTCTGAAATATTTCAGAGAAAAAAAACAAGAAATAAGAGAAAACTAGAAATCTGTTTCCTCCTTAAACTAATTACAACTGTGATTTGTATTGCCATATTATATTGTATCTATTGCCATAATAAGGTCTTTATCTACCTGCAATATGCCTTTAATTTTCATCAATTTTATAATCCCCAAACTAAGCCAGGTCAAAATATTTTCTGAATATTCATTAAGCAGGCTTCATTAAGCATGTTTGGTGAAATCTATTCAATAGGGAACCTACTAACTTGCTTTTAAAAGTGACCTATAGGGGGTGGGGGGGATGGGAAGAGATAAACCACAGAACGTATATGCATGTATGCAAGTCCAATGGACATGGACAACTAAGCCGGGGATGGGGCGGGGGTGGGGTGGGGAGGGGGGTGCCAATGGGGTAAAAAAGGTGAAATATCTAACAAAAAAATAAATAAAAAATTTAAAAAAAATTAAAATACATAAATAAATAAAAGTGACCTATAGGTTTAAAAAAATAAATAAAACTCAGTAATTCACATTTGCATACACCTAGTAATTTAAGCCCTGCAAATATATTTGTGAAGCCACATCTTTTTGGACAATATTTTATGTAGACTTTGTGTAATATAAGCTTTTCCATCTAGCATTTACTTATGTAAGTTTTATAGCAAGAATCAAATGCCAAATAGAAATAAGGCACAAAATGAAAAACGTGTGGAATTACAGTTGGTTAATGAATCAAGACTCATTTCAATCTGAGGAAGTGGCTAGTAACAAAGATAATTAAAGACTCAATTTCTCATCCTATCTGTCCTTTCTCTATTGTCTCATCACATATTAACATGAAAATATAAAATATGATATTGCTCTGCTTACACTATTTGAAATCTAAGATTATAACATTATACTTAATTCCTTAAAGACAGTCAACATAAAACCAGGCCTGATCATATTTAAAGAGTTTGTTCATAGCCTTGAAAATGATTCTTAAAGTGAAAAGATCTTGGAATCATTCTATTTCAAATATACCTCCTCAATAATGGGTTCCATGTCTTTTTTTTCTCCCCTAATTTTAATTTCAAAATGAAATATAATAAAGAGGCTAGCTTTACACACAGGGTAGACTTCAACTTTTCTCCTGGTTCTCAGAGCCTGCCCGGAACAGTTTCACTTCTCCTTTTATTTACCGCCCTTCCAACTTTCTCATTTTGCCTGAACTTCACAAAGGACCTATTTTATTGTTCCTTATCTTTGAAATGACCTAATTTTTGTATAATGACGTTCTCTATTCATTTTTATTTGGAAAAAGCATTGTAAAGTACCGGTGTGATGCATAGTACATATTTTTAATAAGGGCAACATTGTCATTTTTATCATTAAAGCATACTTAAGTATTACCACTCATGCCTTTTTGTTTGGTTCGCAAGAAGCGAGACAGTATTTACTTATAGTCAAAGAAATATAAGCTATTTCCCTTTGCTTTGTAGATGGGTAAAAATTACGTAGACTCCAACTGAATGCAGAGTTTCAAATTAGTTACAACATAAACCACCCCAATATTTGAAAACATTTTAAAAAATTAAATGCCTATTCAGATTAATCTAAGACAATTTATAATGGCCCAGTGTCATCCCATGGACAGAGAGGTCCCAGTTTGATTCCGGGTCGGGGCACATGCCTGGGTTGCGGGCTCAATCCCCAGCAGGGGGCGTGCAGGATGCAGCTGACAGATGTTTCTCTTTCTCCCTTCCTCTCTCTCTAAAAAATAAAAAAAATAAAAAATAATTTTTTTTAAATCTTCCCTTAAAAACGAAATACATGCCCTGGCTGGGTAGCTTAGTTGGATAAAGTGACATCCTGATATACCAAGGTTGCCATGCCTGATCAGGGTACATACAAAAGCAGCAATTAATGAATGCATAAATAAGTGGAAGAATAAATCGATGTCTCTCTCTAGCTCTCTCTCTAAATTTCAATTTATAAAAGAGAAATAAAAATTTTAAATGTAAAGAAGGAGTTTAATATTACAGAGATGGGCTAGTAGTAAGATGATAAATAACACTGCTTAATCAAGTAAAATCGTGGTAAGATTTACTCCATATTTATTCCATGTTACCATTTAGTAACATTAGTTTCTGTTCATTAAAAAATATATACACAAGAAAGAATGTTCCATTTAAGTAAAAAAAAAAAATCACATCCATTTTCTAAGAATGCCTTACTAGTTCTCTGAAAAACTCACCTCCTTCAGGAAATGTTAATGTTGCAATACTAATTGAACAGGATACAAAACTGTACAGAAAGTACAGGAAAGTTTACTTCAACATCCAATGTTGTATTCAAATACCAGAAGGAAATACACCAAATATCAACAAATATGTCTTGGGGTGGTGGTATAAGTGGCTAGCTGGATGATTTTCTACATTGGAGATAAATGTTTTAAAATTTAAACTTTAAAAAAAGTTCATTTGGATTCTGGAGCTGAGAGGTAATTCCCTCAAAAAACAAAATAATTTTCCTACTTTCAGTTTTCACATAACAATAAAAAGCTTAGACTTTTAGAAATTCCTGCCCTGGCCGGTTTGGCTCAGCGGGTAGAGTGTCGACCTGCAGTCCAGAGAAACCCAGGTTCGGTTCCCGCTAAGGGCACCGACCTTGGTTGCAGTTTGACCCCGGCCCTGATTGGGTCGTGCGGGTGGCAGCCACTCGATGTGTCCCTTTCACGTCGATGTTTCTCTCTCTCTTCCTCTCTCTCCCTCCCACTCTCTCTGAACAAAAAAAATGGAAAAATGTCCTTGGGTGAGGATAAAAAAAAAAAAAAGAATTTTAGAAATTTCTCAAAGTTAAAATATATTTTTTGAAAGGATCAATGATATACAATCCTAACAAAGAAACATTTAGCTGTGCCAGAACTAGAACGTTTCAGTAGTATTTTTTTTTTATTCTCAAAAAGAAATAACCCCCAACTTAAAAAAAAAAAAGAAAAAGAATCGTTTTCCAACACAGGTCATACGTCCCAAATACAGTTTCAATGTCCCTGATAACTAAATAAAGGGGCCTATAAGAGCACTTTACATCACCCAGAAGTCCTTGTGAATGCATACTAGATGGAAAGTTCTGGCCTATGATGTGCTACAACGAATCTTGAAATCCCCACAATTCAAACATTACACAATAATCAACATTAATTAATAAAGTGATTCTATGCCTAATATATCATACAGAAGGTGGGAAGAAAACCCAGATCACTTTATTCTCAGTTGAGTGTTAAAACATAACATCCCAACTTTCCCACCAGCAGAGAAACCCCACACAGCCTGTGCAAGCTTTAATTCCCTTCCCTTCCCCATCAGCCCAGCAATCACATCAGACAGTGAAGCAATGCAACCTAGGAAGGTTTCTAAATACTGATGAAGGTAGGAAATAGCTTGAAATTTATACT